GGACCCGGATTGTTGTTGTTGGGGGCGATATGCTGACTCTGTAAACCGCTTAGAGAGGGCTGAGAGCCCCGTGAAGCGGTATATAAGTCTAACTGCTATTGCTATTGCTTCTCCCCTGGCTCTGGCAGAGCCCCGAGGCCGACCACCTGGGGAAGGGAGTCGAATTCGACAGCGACATGGCAGACATCACCCAAGAGCTGCTTCCGGAGTCCATGGCGGAAGAGAACCTGGCGGAAGAACAGGAGCCGGTACCGGCCTCGACCCATATTGCGTCCTCCCTGGACATCAACCCTCACACGCTGCAGGTGAGTCCTCCGCCAGGTGCCCCAAGCTCTACCTCCCAACGGCTGTGGGTTCCTGCCGAAAGCCCCTTTTGAAGTGGGCTTCCTCCACCCAGGAAGGGGGTTCGTCTCCCTTCTCGCTTTGGCTTTTATCCCGGAGAAGTCGGAATGCTTTATTTAAAATACCCACCCCTGATCCCGCCTTCTAGGTTAAGCCAGCCCTCAGTTCAAGACTGAGAATAAGGAAGAGGAACCCACGGGGTTAAAAGCAGGATGGGGTGGGATAAAGGGTTGGGCCAGAAGTCCTCCGAGGCCCCTCCCGGCTCTCAGGATGTACCTCCCGCGTCTCCTTTGCAGATCATGAAGGCTTCTTTGCTGGCAGACGAGGAGGAGCTGGACTGGATGGCGGATCCCCAGTTTGGCCAGCCAGCTGCAGAAATGGACCCTTCGCAAGAGGTCTGCTCTCCGAGGCTCCCCATCTCCTCCTCTCGAGGGTGGAAAGGCCGCCCCCCAGGTATGGCCAGCAAAGCCAGGCTCCGAGCGCCCCGGAGCCCACAGTCCAATCCTGAGCCAGCAGGATTTCCCTTCAAGGGACCATAGGAGAAGCAGGATGCGCTGCTTACCTGTCCAGAGAAAATCCCAGAGGGGGGCTTGAACAAGCACCTTGTCGGTTGCAAGCTGGGAACCAGGCGGAGGCCGGGCAGCTCCCCTCCCAGAGCTACCACTGTTGGGCCTCTCAATCCGTGCCCAGCGCTGTGGGATTCAGCAGGGTGCCAGGAGGTGCCCCTGGGCACCAGTCCTTCCCATCAGGAGCCATAACCTAGATGAGGGCACTTTATAGGGGTGCCTCTGTGAGTCTGCCTGGGGGGGGGATGGGGGGGGGGACCTTGTGGTGGGACCCCCAGTTAGAGGGCTGGGAGGTGTGAAGCACCTGGCTAGAGGCCTTGAACAGCGGGACTGACCACCCGCAAAATCCCCCCCCCCCCCAAGGGAATGCGGTCGGTCTGTCTGGCCAGATTCTTGTAAACAGGCGAGCAGCAATAAAGCAGCGACTCTGCTCAGCTGGAGGGGCCTCCTTGGTTCCCTGGGGTCCGTTCGGAAGAGGCGGCTGCCAGGATTCTGCTCCTTTCGGCTTCCTAAATGCCGGCTCTCCTCCTCCTCCCCGCTTGCAGGTTCCAGGCTGCTGCAGTCCAGACTCTCCACCGGCTCTTTCCTGCTTTCCAGCGCCTCCCTCCAGGACCGCCGCAGCCCGAGGACTTCCTCCCTGGGCGGGGCTTTGGCCGCCCCGCCTTGGGCTGCTCTTTCCCCCCTGGCCTCCGCCTTCGTCCTGCCGCGCTCGGCTCCCGAAGCGCCCCTGAGAACCGTGGGGGTCCGCAGGCAGCCGGGCCTGGTGGCCCTGAAGAAGTCGGTCGCCTACGGGAAGGGGCGGCTGCTGAAGGACATGGCCCTCTTCGTGGGACGCTCCTTCCGGGTGGGCTGGGGGCCCAACTGGGTTCTGGCCCACAGCGGTGACCGCTTGAGCCCTCTGGGCGAGCCGGAGGACCACGGGGAGGCCACCGAGTACGGGTTCTTGCCGGCCCCCGTGGCACCAAAGCAGTACGTCATTGCTCTGTGATCCTGAGGGTGGGTCCTGTGGGAATGGGCCTCCCCCCTGCCCAGAAGAGCCAGCAGGGACCCTCTGGGCTCTCCTCCATCTGGGTGGCTCTTCTGGGGTATTTGGGCCGTTCCATTCTCTGCTGCAGGGGTCTCCGACCGCTGGGAACTTTACGCCTGGCGGACTTCAACTCCCAGAATTCCCCAGCCAGCTTCGCCTCTGCTGGGCCTTTGGGGGCAATTGAGGGGCTCCTGGGAAAGAGAAGGGGCCCCCTCCTCCTTTCCCCCGGGCTCTGCCCAGAGGGGGGGTGCAAAGGGGGCCCTTGCAGCTCTCTCCACGCAGTCCTCCACTTAACAATGATTCGTTTAGTGACGGTGCCAAAAAAGGCAAGTGAAAAAAGTGACCTATGACCATTTTTCACACTTAGCAGCCTCCCAAATTCAGAGGCAATTGGCTCCTATTTATGACGGTCGCAGCATCGCTGGGCTCAGCTGATCCCCTTTGGTGACCAGCAAAGTCAATGGGGGAACTGGATTTATTTAACAACAGCCATGATTCACTTAACAACTATGGAGGAAAGATCATGAAATGGGACAAAACTCACACGACGGCTGCCTCACTTGGCAACTGACACGTTGGGCTGAGTTGTGGTCATAGGTCGAGGACTGCCTGTAGTAGGAGCGGCTCTGCAGAGGAGTGGAAGGCTCTGCCAGGGGAGGGTCCTGGGGGAGACCCCACCCCCAAGGCCAGCCGGTCGGACTGAGGCCCTTGCTGGGGGCTTCATTCCACTCGCAGGAGCCGGACAAACCCACAGAGAAGCCTCCGACCCTCACAGGCCCGGGCCTGATGTCCGGTGCTTTGGGGAGGGGGCTGGAGTGGCCTGCGCTGGTGCCCCCACGCTCTTCTCAAGGGCCGGGTTTTTACTCCCCTGGGGAAGCAGATTAAGAATGGTGTGAGTGTGAGAGAGAGAGAGAACTCCCAGTGGTGGGTTGTTCCAAGCAGCTTCGCTGAGCGTCTGCCTCTCTGCACAGGGGAGAGTTTCTCCATCAGCCCCCTATATTCTCTGCTGCAGCAAGGGAAGAACGTGGGGAGCCAGCCGTTGATCCCCCCACCCCCTGTCTTCCCCGTCCCTTTCCCAGGGTCTCCGAGTCCCCCTTCAAGGTCCACCTGGAGAAGCTGACCGTGGAGGGGAAGGCGACCGACCGCTTCTACCTCCCGCCATTGGAGATCAAGCTGAAGCACAGCACCGTCCACCTGGATGACCCCTGTCCCTTCCTGGCCCCCAACCCGGGCGTGGCAGCCATCCATGAATATGCCGCCTGGGCCTCGGAGGCCTCGGAAGGCGCAGAAGAAGAAGAAGGAGGAGGAGGTGAGGGGCTGGCAGAGGAGCAGTGGGAGGGCTCTGGGATGGCACCGGCAGCCAGGATCTTCCCCTCCCGGGAGCTGCGGGGGTGAGTGGGAAGGCAGCGAAGCCAAGGTGGACGCGGGGCCTCCGTCCTGGCTTTGACCCTAGAAACAAGGGCCATCGGCCAAGGGGTCAGCACACGGGGAAGCCCCCTGCTCTTTCCCACAGAAGGTCAACAGGTCATCTTCCAAGTCCTGTAGAAGGGCCGCCCCCCCAGTCTTTCTGGCTCTGTTGAACAGAAGGGGGGGAGGGGGGCTGTGTGCACACGCCCAGCACTTGTGCAAATCAGGAGAAATTTCCTGACAGTGAGAACAATTAATCAGTGGAACAGAAGTTGCCTCCAGAGGTTGTGAATGCCCCAACACTGGAAGTCTTTAAGAAGACGTTGGATAACCCTTTGTCTGAAGAGGTGTAGGGTTTCCTGCCTAGGCAGGGGGTTGGACTAGGAGACCTCTAGGGTCCCTTCCAACTCTGCTATTGTATCGTATTAAATGGCACTTCACCCGCCAGTCTCACGACCTGGTTCCCAATGGGCCAGTACCAGACCAGGGTTTGGGAACCCCTGCTGTGGAATGGGAGGAAGGGGGCCGTGATGGAGATCCCTCTGGCCCAGGCGAAAGAGGCTGGAATGTTTTTTAAGCCCAGAGCACAATCGTCATGGGGCATTGGATGGCATGGTCTGATCTGCCTCCTTTGATGGGCCTGGCAAGGCTCCCTCTGAGCTGCGGCTGAAGGTCACCCAGGCATCCAGGGCTGGAAACGACGGTCTTCAAAAGGTCACTGGATGGAGGGTTGTAGGTCGAGGACTGCCTGCAAAACCTCCCTGAGGGAATGGAGCGCCTGGCTGGGGTCCCCAGGGGTGCCAGTCTGACTGGCTGCCGCTCTCTCCGCAGGGGTGGTGAGGGCCTGGGGCCTAGTCTGGCGCTTGTGCGAGGCGCTCTGGGGCCACCTGAAGGAGCTGGAGGGGCGCCTGGAGGAGCCCAGAGAGTACGGGCTGCTGCTGGAGCGCCGGAGGGCCTTCTCCCACTGGCTCTCCCGGACGGCGGACGAGCGGATCCAGGAGGAGGTCTCCCTCCGGCAGAACGACAGCCCCGCCGAGGCCGTCTTCAGCTACCTCACCGGGAAGCAGATCGGCAACGCCTGCCGCCTGGCTCAGCAGTCTGGTAAGACCCCCCACCCCGCCCGCTTTGGCTTTGACGGGGGGGGGGGAGGAGGGGGAATATGCAGCCAGCAAAGGCTCCCAACTCCCAGCAGGACCCAGGAAGCCCCCCCACCTCACGGCATTTTTAATGCCCCCCAGAGAAGCCTCAACTTTGGGGAGGGGAGGGGCAGCACTTTGGAGGTGGCTGATGGGATAGGGAACACCCCACCTCCTCCCTGGGAGCCCCCCGCCCCGTCCTGCTTACTTAAGTGCTGTTGCTGTAGGCCAAGATGTCAACTGGCTCAGCGTTTTGTAACGCGCCAACCTGCTTGACAGAGTGGCATATAAATCTCCTAACTTGCAACTTCGTAAAATCCACGCGCGGAACGATCAAACGCCCGTCAGTGGCAGAAGGCAGCTTTACTTGGAGCAGCTGCCGTTCTGGGACGAGGCTTCCAACACCATCAACCCCTCCCCACATCTGCCTACGGATCTCGGGATCCTTGGGAAGGACTCGATGGGCAGACAAAATGCCAAAACCAGTCTGAACATCTGGCAGGCTGTGCGATAAGCATTAAAATAAACGGAGATTAAATTAAAACCCAGAATACTACGGGTGGAGGTCTCCTTCCTGATCCCCCAGCCCCCTCCAAAGGAGGGCCGGCCCAGGCTCCAAGGCCCCTGTGGGTGGTGACCCAGAGGGCCAAGCTATTCCAGAGGGAGGCGTTCTGTGGCTGATGGGCTCTGCACGAGGCCCCTCCTGCTGGCCCGGGTGGCGTTGGGGTGAGATGGTGCCCCTGGGGGGGGGGGGGATTGCATTCAGCAGCCAGGCCCAGGGTCTCTGGGGATTCTGGTTCTCCCAAAGGGGCTTTTCGTCTTGGTGTTTTTCCTTTGAAAACCGTTTAGCTTCACATCCAAGAAGCTTGAAAATTTCTCCGGAACCGAAGAAGCTTCATGGATGGGAAGCAAAAGGTTCTCAAGGGGGGAAAAAACAAGAAGAGCCCAGTTGCCTTTTAGACAGAAAGCCCCTTTGGGATGTCCAGGTAAAGGAAAGCCAGCCTTCCCACATGCCAGGCTCCCCGCCCCTCTTTCCTGGCCTCCGCCTGGCAGGACCTGTGAGGATGGCCATCTCGGCTCCCCTGAGCCCCTTCGAAGTGCCGCCTCCTGGGCTGCCTCGGATGCCGATGAGGGCTCTTCCGTTGCAGGGGACCTGCGCCTCTCTCTGCTCCTCTCCCAGCTGGTGGGGAGCCAGGAGGTCCGGGAGCTGCTGGCCCTGCAGTTGGCCGACTGGCACCAGCTCCAAGCTGACGGCTTCATCCAGGACGAGCGGCTGCGCATTTTCTGCCTCCTGGCTGGCAAACCGGTGAGTGGCTGGGCGCCTGCTTCCTTCCCTCCCCGGCCACTGGCGGCGGCTGCTGTGGCCGTCGTCCCTTTTTCAGCCCTTGGTCTCCCTGCTCCAGGTGTGGCAGTTATCCGAGAAGAGAACCATCAACGTCTGCTCCCAACTGGACTGGAAGCGCTCGCTCGGGGTGCACCTCTGGTACCTGCTGCCTTCCACGGCCCCCCTTTCCAAGGCCCTCAGCATGTACGAAGCCGCCTTCCAGGTAGGCAGCCGCTGGGGAGGCCCAGGAGGACAGAGCCCTGCCCGAATTGGGAGTCTGCCTTGGGAAGGGGGCGGTCACGGCCTTCCTCCGGCCCAGGAGGGTCGTTTGGGAGAGCTTCGGCCTCCAAAAGGGCTAGGCATCCCCATCATCCCCAGCCACTGGGAGTGGGATACATCCCCCCCCCCCCCAGCCCCGCTTGCCACGCCCTGTTCCTCCCTCTGCTTGAATCCCTCCAGGATTCCGTGATCCTTTTCATTGTGCAACATCCAGGGTCCCTCAGGGAGGTTTTAAAGTGTGGTATATATATATATATAATAAAGGGAGACTAGTATAGATCTATTTCAAGCTATTTAGCTCTCATCAAGCTTGAAATAGATCTATACTAGTCTCCCTTTATTATATATATATATATA